TACAACACGCACTCTTCCCTCTGTCTCTGTCTCTCTCTCTCCTCCACTTTGCTCTCACTCCCTCCATTTTTATGGTTGTCCAGCAAATAAATAAAATAAAATGAAAATTTTACACTGAAAATAAAATAAAAACCATTCGAAATGTTTGGAATTGCTGCAGGACACTATGGTACCTCGGTGCTCAGTTTTTTCATAAATCGAAAACGCGCCTGGCTCTAGCATTAATATTATTCGGAAAGCCAGGTGTTCAAAGAGCCAACTGGCACTTCATTCTAGCTATAATAATAATCGAATAACGATGCACATATCTGCAATCTAGGCGAAATAATCATTCCTTATATTTCTGCATTTGTTCTTTAAAACCTAATAATTAATATACCCCTGCCTACCCTTTGAGTGCTGGGTATAAACATTAACAAGCGGTAGCCAGCAAAAAAATTTAACTTAATTGCCAAAATACACACAGAAACACACACACACACACACAGAGCAAGAGAGTGTAGGGGGGGATGGCATGCCATACAGCACCTCCTACATCCCCAGTCAACAAACAACACAAAAAAAGGGTGTTGTTGTTGTTGTTGTGGTTCTGTTTTCGCTGCTTTTTCCTTTGCTGGGTGGTGCGGTGGGTTGGAGTTTTGGGGGTTTTGGGGGTTTTGGGGGTCTGCTGTTGGCGTGTGCGTGCGCCGCCGTGCGATATAATTTATGTTTCAATAACTTTCGAAACTCATTGAAAAGTCGCTTATGTTTGCTTCAATGGCAGCGGCAGCAGCAGCGGCAGCAGCGGCAGCCAGGCAACAAAAGCAACAGCAAACACAAGGGGAAGAATGCTAAAAGTACAACAATAAATTGTTTGGGATTTACTTATGCGCGAGCAAGGGGGGGCGGGTAGGGTTGAGCAGGGGGAGCCTGCTTCTGCCATTTGCCATTTTACTCAATTTTTTTTTTATTGTTGTTGCACTTCAGCGACCTCCTGAAAGTCTTTGTCTTTCACCCGCAGCAGCAACAGCAGCAGCGGCAGCGGCAAAGAAAATTCTCTCTTAAGTTGCAAAAAGTTTTTCCTATTTTTTCGCTTTCCCTCTCTCTCTCACGCCCTCTCTTTCCACTGCCGCACACTCTTTATGAATGTATTTTGTTTGCCATTTGCTTTGCTGTTTTTCTATTTTTTATTGTTGTTTTTTTCTGCGTTCATTTTGTGCTTTCAAAATTTATTTGCAAGTTTTCTAATTTGTATTTCACTTCATTTTATTCTCATTTGAGTAGAGCGAAAGACACACACAAACACACATAGAGAGAGAGAGAAAAAAAGACACGGAGAAAGTGAGATATCTACGGGAAAGAGAGTGTGAGAATGTGAGAGATTAGGGGGCTATAAGTATGCAATGCCTGCCTCAGGGGTGTGCGCATATTTATTAACCACACTGTTGACTCCAACTTTTACTTGCAGCTTGTTGCTCCATCTCTATCTCTCTCTCTCTCGCTCTCTCTTCTACACTCTTTCTTTCTATCTATCTCTCGCGTGTCCCTCTGCTGCTGCTGCTGCTGTTGCTGCTGTTGTGTGTTTTGAATTTTGTTGTCGCACCTTCTCTGGAATTCTGTTTACATTTATTACTTTGCGCAAGTTTAAGTGAAAAATTTCCATAAACATTCTTTTAAGCGACATAAAGTTTTTATTAAATTTTGCTAGAGAAATCCCTGACACGATGATATCAGACGGGGGGGGATGGGAGAAACCCAGAGAGCACACACAGCAAGCAGCGCCACCAAAGACAACCAACGACAACGACAACGACGATGGCAACAAATAGAGCTGCGGAATTTACAACTACAGCAGTGAGGAGGATTTTCCACCATCTCCATCTCCATTCCTATGTACAAGCTTCAACCTGATTGCTGCTGCTGCTGCTGCTTGTGAAAGCTGCTTTTTAAGACACTTCCAACGAGTAAGGGGGGGGGGCACAGGAGAGAAGGTGTAGCAACTGTTTTACTGTTGGCAGTGCTACGGGAAAGAGATACGAGCTCTAGGGTTCCCACTGATGCTGCTGCTGCTGCTCCTCCTTCTTCCACTGCTGGGCTGCAGCACGCAGTTCATAAAAATTTTGCCAGCCAACATGACATGCACAAAGGCGAAAGGACACACGGGACCCTGGTCACAGAGCTGCGAGTGAGTGAGTGAGTGAGAGACAGTGAGAGAGAGAGAGAGAGACACAGCAATGCGAGTGAGTGGGAAACAGGGAAGTGAGAAACAGCGAGGCAACAAAAAGCAGAGAAAGACTGTGAGAGAATGTGGCATAAACTTTCGTCGCTTGTTAACCTGCGAGCTAAGAGCAGCAGCAGCAACAGCAGCAGCAGAAGTTCGTTCCCCATTCCACTGACATTAGATGAAATTCAATTAAAACAAAGATATATTTCGTGGGGCATTCCACCAGCAGCAGCAGCAGCAGCAAACCAGGAGGAGTGTCAGTTCTCAAGTTGTTTAAAACAAAAAAATGCGCTTAAAAAAACGAACGAACGAGCGAACGAACGAGCGAATGAATGAACGACAGTGAGGAAATGTGTTTGCTCTCTTTTTCTCTTGTTCCATGCAGTACATTGCGTATACGCCCCATAAAACGCTTAATTAGTGCGAAAAGAAAAAGCAGCGCATAAACATTTGGTAGTTTGTAAGTGATTTCGCCCCCCGCCATGCCTTTTTTTTCTCTTTTTCTTTTGTGTGTGTTCTCTGCTTCTGTTTGGTAGTTGGGGGGTTTTTTAGGGACAATATTACTTATAGGAATATGCATTGAAATATCTTCAAGTGCAGATATTCATTCGTTCTTTTTTTTCCATTTATTTCTTTTTGAAATCTTAGAATTTAGAATCTTTGAGCTCTGCATATAGCTTTCGTTTTGGTAAATATTGTGGAGTAAAAGTCGCTTAAAAGATGCTTAAGAATATTAGTAAAAGACAGTATTACTTTATCATACTTTTTTAGAGGAAATATTGTTCCAAAAATCATTTCATTTAAAGCAAATTCGTAGTGCATCGCAGTTTAGGGAAAAATGAAAATTGTTCTTAAAAATAAATAATGAATAAATAAATAAAATAAATAATAAATAAATAATTAACTCATGTAATTAACAATATGAAACTGTTCGAAGTATGAAAAAAATACAATTAAATCAATAATAAATTTAAAAAAATATATAAAATAAATATACATATAAGAAATAGGTTAAGTATTAACCTACTTAACCTATTTATTATTTATTATTTATTAACCTACTTAACCTATTTCTTATATATTTATTTTTTTATTTTTTTTTCAATTTAATCAACTCATTTTATAATAAAAACAACGAATAATTTTGCTGTTACGGGTTGTGTTTTTGTGACTAGTGCATTAATTGATAAGAATCTTTCTGGTCGCACTAGGAAGTACGTAAATAAGTAAGCAAGTAAAAATAACTGCATTGAGTATGCTCGAGAGCCTGCAGCAGTTCGAGTTCGAGTTGCTCGTCAAATGAAATATGGAACATGATCAAACATGCTCCAGCCGAGTGCAAAAGCAAAGCTGCAAAAAAAGCAAAAACCAATGCAAGACAAAAGCGAAAAGAGAACTGAGGCCTGAGGCCTGAGCCCGCGCGAACTTTAATCAAATCGATCGTAGCCGAAGACTAAAAACGAACACAAAGACGAAACGAAGTAGATGTCGTTCTCGTGCTGTCTCTCTCTCTTCCTCAAGCGCTCTGGTGAGTAAACAACTTCTGTGTTATCAACAAATTCTAATCAAAGTAAAGCCACATCGCAGCCACTCTCCATCTCTCTCTCTTCATCTGCCTCTCTTCCATTTTGATGGAGTGTTTGCAGCTGTAGTTGGAAATTGAAATTGACTCCTTTTCAAATGTCGCCTCATTATTCATACTGCCAGCACCGCAAAAGCCCAGCTAATTTGCGTTAAGCATTTTTAAATAAGGTCAGAATGGGTCGCTCGAAGGGGGCTGTGGAGTAGGGGTACAGACTACAGGGTGGTGGAGTGGGGTGGGCTGTGTTTGGTTCAGCCAACTGAATGATGATCGAAACCGCAACAAATGACAAACGTTACGGGTGGAAAATACACACAACACGGAAAGCACAAACAGACAAGGAGAAAGAGAAAGAGAGGGAGAGGGAGAGAGAGACAGAGCAACACAGCAAAAAAAAAAAAACAAGGAAAATCAATGAAAATGAAAACCAATTAGCGGTTAACCAAACTGTTCAAATTTGGAAATGGATGCGCAGCCGTGCATGGCCATAAACAACAGCAGCAGCAGGAACAGCAGGAGCAACAGCAGCAGCAAAAGATACAGCAGAAAAGGAAGAGAAAGAGAGGGAAGAGAGGGTAGAGTGAGATAAAGCCAGGGATGAGTGATAGCCAGAGGTCAGCTACAGCTACAGCAACAGCAAGAGGTTGAAAGGTAAAAGGTTTCCACAGGTTACACAATTTATTACGCAGACTATCGAGAGTTTGCAATAATTAAAATCAGTTTGCAACACGACACCATTTTCGCTGGCTCTACCTCCCCCCCTCCCCCAGTCACCGTCTCCATAGAGAATTAATTGAGAGAGCAATAAATTAGAGAAACATTTCTGGGATATTTTACGCATGAGAAAAAGAGCTGCCGACAGATGGTAAAACCATTTATTGGAGCGTCCGTATGACATTCAATTTGTACAAAAAATCGGTAGATATAGAAAGAAAAATATATTCCCCAATGAGAAAATGGAAAAAAATAAAAAAAAAAAAAGAGCTGGCTGCGACTTTAAACAAAGCTAAAGATACAATACCCGCTAGATACGATACTGGTGAGCTCTTAGAATTATGAAACCAATTTAAAACAGTGCTTTAATACGTATAAAATTAATCATTGGTGGTTTCCACTGATTTAGGCATCAATTAAAGTAATTTTAACAATTCCCATCTATATATTAGATTAACTGCAGTAGATCATTTGAATCCTTATAGCTGGTACTGTACTCACCTGGATCTACGCGTCGTGGGATCCTTCATGACCATAGCCTCTGAGATATCACCATAGCGTCCAAAGTAATCGCGTAAACTCTCTGAAAAAAACAAAAGAAAAACAACAGTGAATGAGGGGTACTGCAAATCAATCAATCAAACTGTTTATATTGAAATCTACTGGCACTGGTTCAGTGTGTACATTCCTCCAGTACAGTAGTCATCAAAACACAAAATCACTACACAAAAAGTAAGTAATTTTATTTATGCGCTTCATAAAAATACGAAAAATACGTAAACAAAAATTCGAAAAGTTTTCATGGCTTCTGCTGGCTCTCTCTCGTTACAGGCAAGAGAGTCTGGACATTATTCACATGCTGCATGCGGCATGGCATACACATACATTCGAGAGGGTGTGTGGGGGGGGGGTTGGCACGTTTACCCATACTCGCTGCCAGTATGGCAGGGACTCCACTTCAGACGGGTACGTCGGCAGCTGTTGTCTGCGGTTTTGTGAGCTAATCTGGTTCTGCCACCAAGCAGAGGACTCTGCAACACACACAGGGTACAGGGCACAGGGCTGGGCAGGGGGTAGTGGGGCAGGAAGGGGGAGTGGCAAAAGCACTTCAGCGGCACGTACGCACACAAACGCAAAACTGAAGTTATTTCAACAAAATTGCCAGACAAATGGGAGGAAAGCAGCAGAAGCAGCAGCAGAAGGACGAGCACGAGCACGAGGAGGAGAAGGAGCTGTGACAGTGGCAGCAACAGCGACAAATACCAAGCCTCGTTGGCTGCGATTTAATGCAGCAGCAGCAGAGAATGGATAAAAAAACCGATAAAGTCATCTCTCATGGCGGGCAGGCAGCCCTAATCCAGTGGTGGAGAGTGTCGAGACGCAGGGACGTCATAAATTCAAACTACAATAAAAATTCAATAAAACAAACGATTTTTTGTTTTGTTTTTGTTTTGCTGCCGGGTAACCGAGTTCCGCCAAGACGCTTCTTTAGCCATAAATGTGGTGCGATTTCTCGCACCAGCCGCCACACACACCATGCCACACACGCACCATAAGCACTGCCCCCCCCACCACCCTCCTATTCTGATGCCATTCGTAGCAACTAGTTGCGCCTTGTGTGTCGACCCCCCACAAAAGAATGGTGGTGTAGCAGTGGCATGTGGCACATGGTTCTCTCTCTATGGGTGTGTGTGTGTGTGTGTGGCAGTCAAGTGGGGGCAATGCAACGCGAATCGCGTCGCGTGATTTACATAAGTATGCACAATAATTATGAACAATAAAAAACAATTTGTTTGCTTATGACAGTTTTGGTACCATAAATAACAACAGCAACTGGCTGTGCTCGCTCGCTGGCTGTACTCGAGTGTGGCATGTGGCGGGACCGACCGGGGCGAAAGTGGCTATGCTGGCTATGGAGGCTATGGGGTATGCGTGTGTGGCATGTAAATTGATGGCCAGAGCCAAAAAAAAAAAAGAGAAGGGTTGCGTATGTGGCGCTGCAAAGTATGCTACACTTTAAGTTTTAATGGGCAATTGCTCAGCCAACGTGGAAGAGAGAGTGGCATGGCATGGCTACCAGCATGATAGGTGTGTACATTATATATATGTATATATTCTGTGGCATGACTCGTCCATTAGCTGCAAGGTGTAGTTAAGTAGATAAACCACTGGGGGCAAAGTTAAGCGTACTTTTCTACTTAGTAATCGTATATGCATACCATTCTAGGTGTGCGTCTGTGTCTGTGCGTATGCGTGTGTGTTTTTTTGGTGTGTGGAAAGCAGGAATTTCTGGGAAGTTCTTTTGTGGGTTGCAACTTGAATACATCTGATTTTCTGGCCACTTTTAATCAACTTTATTCAGCTATTATATTCCCATTAAATGTGTTTAATTTTCCACTGATTTCTTCTCTATTCGCAAAGCATTTCCCTTAAGCTATTAATATGCATGTAATCAATGCTTCATTTGCAGCTTAAATCATATAAATTCCCAATTAATTTCTTAAACTTTTCTGTGTTCCCTCTACACAAATCAGTTTTGCTTTACAGCTGACTTATTTCCCTATATGTGCATATATCCTTTGGCTATTAAATCTATGCCAAAATAACTTCAATTTCCTGCTGATTTCTAAATCCAAAAACTTCATCGACATTTTGCTGATGCCTTTCAAAAGGTTTTTCGGACTGCCAGCTAAAGTTTTGCCCGAATTATAATTGCATTATTGACTTCGCTTTGCTTTCAATTCAGATTTTTGATCCCATCAGCCATCAGTCATGTCCCTTGTATATACATGTACATGTATGGCCCGGTCTATTACCAGATATCGTATCAAAATGCCAAAATGAAGTCATCATCAACATGTCAATCATATCCCGGGGCCCATCATCGTTCACTTTGTCAGGGAGAGACACACACATACACACACACACACACACACGGGGAACGTGGAATACCTTTCCGGCCAATTAACCATTTCAACATTTCTCACAGTGCACTCACCGCTCCCGCATAGCATAGGGACACCCATTGGACTCCTCTTAAGCACCTCCCCACTGCATCCCTGCTCCTAGCACCACCCACCCCCCCTCTATAACCCAAGCCACTGCACTGTCATTCCATTGCGACGTTCATTTTTGAGTGACAGCTGCAAAGTTTGTTTTGCATTTCATATTTGCGAGCTCTCGTCATGCAGTCGGCCCCCGTCAGAGTCCCCCCCGTCTGACCGACCGTCCGTCAGTCTGCGAGTGTGCTCAGCGCCAACTGTCACTTGACTGCTGCTGTTGCTGGTGCCTCTGCCTCTGCCCCTGCCTCTCCCCCTGCCCACCCACACAACATGCAACACACGGCCAGCCCCTACTGCCCCATCGCTGGACAGGGCCAATAGAATGCAGAGGCAAACAAAATAAATGTGTAAATGTGAAACAAACAAGAAGCAAAAAAGAAAAAAAAAAAGAAAAATGTATATAAAACAAAAGAGAAATAAAAAAAATTAAATGGAAGAATGGGAGGGAAATGGTCAACAAATTAAAACGCGCAAAAATAAAAATAAAATTAAAATTTATTTGCTACAACAACAACAAACAAAAAAAGTGCTCATATAAATAAAACAAAGAAGGAGGGGGGAGGGGAAAATAAAAGAGAAGAGGAGAGTGGAGAGGAGAGGTGAGGAGAGAGAAGTTAAGTGGAGTGGAGGAATTTGAAGAGTAGAAGAGAAAAGGAGACAGCAGAGTGAAAAGTAGGCAGCGAGAGAGAGAGAGAGAGAGCGAGAGAATGAGAGGGCGAAAAAGAGCAACGAAGCGGCTGGGCAGGGCAACAGGCAGCGGGCAACAGGCAGGGGGCAAGGGCAGCAATATATTGTAAAAACGGCAGAGCCAGGGACCAGGCCAAAAAAGCCAAACTTGGATTTAATTAAAATGTTTACCACAGTCATTTCATTTTCATAGCCAGCAAACATAAATTTTGAAACGCATAAGAGGGATGGGACCACAGTAGGGGGAGGAAGAAGAGGGGCAGTGGCAGTGACGGTGGAGAAGAACCACAGAGCGAAACAGCTGCAAGAAAATGCCAAAAAACCATTAAAGTTGTTGCCATTTCACTCACAACCAAAACATACATACGTATAAATATATCGTATATATACACACATATATCCTATATATATCACATTTAATATTAGCAAAGAAAAGGCACAAATTTTGATTGTTGCATTTGTGGCTCTGTTTCTGTTGTTGTTGCTGCTGTTGTTGTTGTGCCAAATAAACGATCTAGAAAATGCCTTTCAATCTGTAAAGGAGCAGGAAAATGTATTTTCAGGTAATTAGTTCAAGCAGTCGTCTCCGCCCCATAGCCTTCCTTCCTTCCCCACACACACACCCACTGCAACAGCAAAACGACCTTCGACCTCCCCAACACAGTGTCAGCACAAAAATTTATCCCAAATCCATTTAGTGAAATTATTTATAAGAAAACTCTGCCAACAATCTCAACCCCCGCTCTCCCTCTCTCTCCAAATCTCTTTGCCCTAGACCAAAAGGCAATCCGTTTTGCGGTTGCAGGCATATTAACCCCTTAACGTTCCACACAAAAGCCCTGCATGCCCCCCCATACCCTTATCCAGCCCGCTCCCCTCTGCCATCATTCATCCATCTATCCCTTAGGAGGGTTAGGCCAGGCCACACACCGCACATGTTGTCAAAAGCACAATGCTGAAACCATAAATTTATGTGCTTTCTATTGTTTTTGCCAAAGAAAGCGGAAGTTGTGTGTGTTCTCTGCTCAGCTGCGGTGCGATAGAGAGCAGGAAAAAGCTGAAGCAGAAGCAGTAGCAGTAGCAGAAACAGGCGGCAGAGGCAGCAAAAACTAGCAACAAAAAGCAGAACAGTGGCTCAGGAATGAGTGGAGTGGAGTGGAGTGGGCTGGAGTGAATGGGGAAGAAAAAAAGGTGTGCGCAAAGGGATTTCAATCAATTGTGAGGCAAACGGCAACTGGCAACTGGCAGCCAGCAGAAGAACAGGAAAGCAACAAAAAACTAACAACCTCTGACTCTGCCAGCAGCCACGGGAATGCCAGGCCTACTCATGCCTCATGCTGAATGCCTACTGCCTCCCTGCTTCTTTCCTCGTGCCTCGTGCCGCCCTGCCACTGATTCAGTCCTGTTCTATCGTTTGTTTGAAAACGCAAATTGCTATTTTGTCTGAACAGCCAAGAGAGAGAGAGAGAGCTGGCTGTAGCTTATGTGTGTGAGAGAGAGAGAGAGATAGAGAGATGTGAAGCCTGTTGTAACACATCCTTCCTCTTGCAACTCCTACCCCCTAACCAACGACCGTGTGGCATCATTTTTCATGCGCTCCAACAACTTTTGACAAAGGTCGGTCAAGCAAGTCTTAAAAACTTTGCGACAAGACAACGCACGTTCCACGCTCCATGCTCCAAGCTCCATGCTCCACTCTCCACCCTTCCCCTTTGGCACTCCCCGCTCTACAATCCTTCCTCGGTTCGCCTGTTCGCTTAGTGAATTACGCAGACTTTAAGGGGTTAAGGGGGCTAAGGAGGTTAAGGTTCAGTTCAGGCCCCTGCACACCCGC